TTCGAATTTTATAATATCGTCCGAATTTATAATGTTGTCCAAATTTTAAAATGTTGTATGAATTTTATATGATTATCAAAATTTATAATAATAATAATAATAATAATAATAATAATAATAATAATAATAATAATAATAATAATAAAACAAAAAAAAACAACAAAAAAGAACAAAAAGAGAAAAAAAGAAAAAAAAATGATATAAAATCAAAAATAAAAGGTTGATTAGATTTATGTTAGGGGGTAAAATTGATTAAGGGATACTTATAGCACAACTATATATATATATATATATATATATATATATATATATATATATATATATATATATATATATATATTATTACTAATGTATAATACATAATATGGGTCCCACTCAATTTTAAGATCAAAGTCTTAAAAACAAGAAAATCCATTATAAGCCATTAGATATAACTTTAAGGGTGTAGATTAAAAAAATAGTAAACATGTGAAAAGTATTAAAACAATAGAAATTGTTATCCTAGATGTACAAGTTTAGAAACACAATATACAAATTGAAAGCTTAAACAAACACACTTCATGGATATACCAACATGGGATGATTTAGAAAAGTTCATATTCATTCTTTTTCTATAAAGCCCTTTCCTCTCCCCTTTCCATTGAATCCCTAGCATTCACTGTCACTATTCTTGTATGTACCATATCTTCCACCTCTCTTCACTACAGTAGCCTTTCTCTTCCTTTCGGTTTCTCTAAACGACGTCTATCAACACAATTCATCTCTGTTGCCGCCATCAGCAACATCTTCAACTAATTTCTTTAAGATGTTGTTATCACCACCGTCGATTTCTCTATTTTTAAAGGCCACGGATCCAAGACACTCATTACTATCATACCTCCACCACTACTACGTGAAACGTCCTCCGCCACCACCGTTCTCCATTAAAAACATATGTTCTCTTTCTCTCTTTCAGAAATCCCTTAATGTAGGTTTGTGTTTGATTTCGATTTATATTTTGTAGCTAATATACGAATGTTACTTATTGGTTATTTTGTTTCTTTTTGTTTTTATTTTTATTTATTATCCAGATCTGGACTAACAATGGCCTTTTGACGTTATTTTCTGTTTGACGAGGATTAAATGGAGTTTGTTCATTTGTTTCAACGTTATGATTTGTTTGTTTAGATTCTAACAATAGTTCATTGTGTTTATCTTTTAAATGTCAATTCTATAATTTATTGTTCATTTTTATTGCATTTCTTATCTATGCAGTGTATTTAGTAGCTTTATATTTATCAACATTTGTTGGTGATTTATTAATTATTATCATCAGTGTTATTTAAGTGTAATGGGATTACTTTGTTGATAAAAAGTGATATTGATAAAATATTAAACAAGTAAGGAATGTATGGAGTACACACTTGTTTAAGTTTGATCAAGTATCAAAGTACACTGTCATTTATGGACGAAACCCCTGAACGAACGGGGGTCCGGGGGAGAGCGCCCCTGGGAGCGGGGTCCAAAGGGCGGCAGCCCCTGGCTGGGATCGAGTTAACAGGTCAGTGCGAAATTTTTTTATATAGGTTATGTTACTATATAAAAAATGCATTAGAAATCCGGTCTTTTTAATAATTGACCTAATTTTGACTTTTATTCAGTTGACTCTGTTTATCACCGTTTTGGTAGTTTTGTGTCAGTTTTAAACTGTCATATAACAGTTTTCAGACAAATATCTAAATTCAGTTTTGGTCTCATTTCTGGTACTCACGAAATCATATCCTCTCATTCTTTTTTTTCTCTCTGATTTAATCTGAGTTTTATCCAATTGAGGATTTCGGAGTACCACCCAAATATTTCGATTAGAAAGTGATTATCATGATTCTCAAATTTCAAAGTGCCACTAAACTATATTTCCAACAACATTTTCAAGTTTTAAAATATTTATACTGTTGTTGCTGTTAATTGGATTCTTTGTTTTACAGATGTTGTCGCTAATTTGTATTTCTTTTTGATTTTTTTAGTGCCGCCTTCAAGTAATCATCCCATGTTTCAAGCAATTATCCCTTGTTTGTATTTGAGTTTTTGTTATTGTTTTGTATTTGTTTATTGGAATTTTCAAAGATGTCGTTTTCTATATCTTTAGTATATTAAGTTACATTTTTTTTGTTTAATCTTTGTATGGGATGATAGAATGAAATAAAAACACTTAAGTTGATTGCAGATTATTTAAATGAAAAATATTATGTATCATGCTATTATTCAAAAAAAATATATAGTGATATTATTAATTGAGATTTTATCTGTTTTCCTGTTTATTGTTATCTTAAATAGTTTCATAGAATATGACAGTATTGTGTGAAATTCTCATTTTAGGTGTTTTGTTTATTTGTTACATCAAAGAATCTATCTTTTTATATAACGTTTATCGACAAATTCTTACAAACAGAAAAGCATGTAAATAGAGTTTGATTATTAAAAAGTTCAAAAAAGATAAAAGAAAACTTCGATTATTTTTGACATGGATCACAACATCAACACCCACACAATTGACACCTTCCATTATACAATTGTAATATATAAAATATAAATAACTATAATAAATGAATGTTACTGCTCACCGTTAAAACAAACAATATGACGTGTGCTCAAAGTAAATCAGTTGAAGTAAGGAAACTGATCAATAAAATAAATTAGTCATAACAACCACATGATTTAGAAAATAAATATCAAGATTATCCTTTGGACTTTTCCCAATATAAATATAAAAACGTTAAATCTTTTATTAACATAGTTAACTATGATACTATATAAAAATACTAATAATAAAAATGCTAAAATATTTTTTCACATACAATAATATTTATATATACCATATATATAGAAAATAAGCTTATTAACTAATATCAAAAACTTTTTAAAAGATAAAATTTAAATACAAATAGTACACATAAACGCTTTTAGACGAGTTAAATGTATGTTTAATGTAATCGTCTTTCACCTTCTTTTAGTTTTGTAATTTGTGCTTAAATATTATTTTTCTCAACTTGTTTTATGTTAAAGAGTATATACATATAACCCCCTTAGTGTGTGTGTGTATATATATATATATATATATATATATATATATATATATATATATATATATATATATATATATATATATATATATATATGGGAAAAGTAAATATACCCTTAAGGGTATATAAGCTTAGGTACTCAAACTCACCATAATACGTCATTTTGTTTGATATATTTATTATAAAGTTCTTCAACTTCAATCCATAACTTGATTTATTTTTTTAAGTTAATTCAAGTTCCGAAAATAATATTTTAAAAAAAAATTTGGATTTTTTCCATTTATTTTGCATTTTAAAATTAATTTTTAGAATATGTACAGTGTTATATTCTATTAGAATAATTCATGTATTTTCAAAAATAATAGAATTTTTTTTACTTTTTTTTAGTTAATTCAAGTTCCAAAAATAATATTCTATTAGAATATTTCACGTATTTTTCAAAAAAAAAAGTATTTTTTTATTTTATTTTTATTTTTTTTAGTTAATTCAAGTTCCGAAAATAATATCTAAAATTTTTTTTTTGGATTTTTCCATTTATTTTGTATTTTAAAATTATTTTTAAATTTGATCTCACGGTATCACAAAATCAGAATGGTTTCAAATGAACTTGAATATATATATATATATATATATATATATATATATATATATATATATATATATATATATATATATATATATATATATATGATAATACAAAAAATGTAGAATAATAATCGATTAAGATATCTACTTATTGAAAGTCATTTTATTTGATTGACAGCGATTTCTAGTTTCCTACGGTCTTTTAGTTTTTATGGTTATTTTTTTATACAAATATCATTGTAAATGCGGTAGTAAAATGTCAAAATTTTATATTTGCTACAAGGGTTTTAGATTTTTGGCATTCTTTTTTCAAATAGTCACATCGACACTCATCCATCAATTAAAATAAATTCAACATATTGGTCCAATTTTGATGGCGTGAATAGCTAAACACATGATCCATTAACTTACACACGACTTTTATGTACACCAATCTATCCACCCGGAAAACAACAACATTATTAAAGGAAAAAAAAAACCTAACCATGTTCTATCTTTTTAGAATAGAGAAAAAACAATCCTTTGTTTCTTTAACATAAGTGATCAGTCCAATGTTAATATAATAGTAGCTGCGAATCTTGAATAGAAAATCACATAGTTCATTAATTTTTCTATATAAATTTTTCTAAACAAATTCAAAGATTTTTATAATTAAGGTTGGTCGTAATTTTTTTTTAAGATGTCCCTAAAATATTTCAATTGAAATTTTATAAAAACTAAGAAAATTAGGTGGCTCCTAGGACCCCGCCTTGCTAATACTTGGCCTCGCCAGTGTATAATACACATCAAACAAGGTCTATTTTATCTTAACCTACATAACTACCTAGGTGGAGTATTGTTTTCGTCTTTTTATATGGAACAATTTGATATCTTATTAACATCATCTTAATCTAACCACTTAGATTGTGATGATTTGATAAGGTATGTAGAAAATATTATGGATAACCTATTGATCCATATTCAAATCATGATACTGTTTAGTCTATGTGGCCATGGAGCGACTCCTGGGGCATGAGTCATAACCCTATGTTTGCAATTGAGGATTACTCGATGGGCGAAAACTAATCCGGAAACTCTGTTAGGAAAGTTTCCTTTCCAGCCCAAAAAAAACATCGTGTAATCTAATAAGTATGATGAACATCAAACACGATACCTCACCACTACAAATCCTGTTTTTTTGCAACATTTTTCACTTCATTGTATCCGTATTTCTTGCATCATTTGTTGTAAAAGAATATATTCATTTACAGTCAAACTTTCAATTGACAATAGAAATTTTTAGCCACTCAAATTTCAAACTAATATATTTCTAGTTGATAATAAAAAGATTGTAGTTAATTACTAGAAATAGTGTTTCAAGACAATTTATATCAGTCACAAAAGGAAAGTGCACTTTTTGGTGTATAAATGGTGTTATACGTTGTAGATACCCTACTTCATATATATAATTGCATTACCCAAACAAAAACAAAAAGCAATACGTTTTCATTAACATAAAACAAACATATATATATACATTATATTATATTGTCTTTTTTGTTCTTAGATCCTCTTTTATAAAAAACCAGAGTAACTAACAAGCTGGAGCCTCAGTTAACTTCATATTCATTAGTGAAGATCCACCAGAAACTTTCAAAGATGCAAAAAGACATGATAGTTTTGCTATCATGGGCCTTGTTTTTGCTACTCTTGGAACAAGAGCCAATTCTTTGCCTTGTAATTGACCATTATACCCTTCCAGATCAGCTTTTGTGATCAAAACAGCATCCCCTGATGATGGTGATGACGTGGCAGTTGATGCTATTCGCCAATGCTTGTATTCCTGAACTGCCTGTGAAAAATTGCAATGTACTTTTGTTTATCTGTGAATTATTACCAAATGACCATTTTACCCTTGAAAAAAATAGAAAGCTAACCTTCCACTGAGATGGAGCTAACAGCACTCTAGGTCGTCTAGATCGTACATATTCCAGTGCAGAAGATGGAGTCATGTTCTTGTATTCCACCTAAAAGTTCCAAAAATGACCATTTTACCCTTACATTCCAAAAAACAAAATTTACATTATTCATCAAATTTAAGTGATGTTATTACCAAATAACATAGTACAATTGTTGTGCTTCTACCCCTTCCAGCTTTGCAGTGTACATATGTAGTCTTGCAATTTGTTGCATTCTCTATAATAAAATAAAATAAATAAATAAAACACATTTAGTTAATATTAAAAGATTCAAGAAAGTAGAGTTTACTCACTGTGAATGAAATTTACTGCTCGATCAATGTCAACAAATGAAGGGGCAAATAGGTAATCTCTGGTGGGAATAACAAGATGGTCTATACCATGAGCCTGAAAAAGTAGACAAATGCATCATGTATAAAACAAATCTGGAATTAATTTTTTACATATGTAAATATTTGGTTTTTTATAAGTTCTTACGCGATATAAAGAAGAGGGAACCAAAGTTTCATAAGGCTCATTGAGGGTGATGACACCACCAACACCAAGTTGCTTCAATCTTGGAACATCTTTTGGAAATGGAACAGCACCCAGAAGAAGAAACTAGATATATGAAAAGCAAAAAGGTTTGAGATAATAAATCAAATTTCATAGAGTAGTTTTATCTATTTAAGTGTTGAATCCAATAAAAAGTGAATGATGTTTTCATCTACTTCACAAGTAATCGAAGTTATAAAATGGTCAAACACTCTTTGGTTGTCTCAAGAAGTTACTCAACTAATTCACCAGTTAGCTGTTAGCAAAGCTATTGAATAGTCAAACACTTTATTGATTAGGATCTTATAGTTCACATGAAGAACATATTCACCACTAAATATCAAGCTGACTCTTAGTTAAGTTCGATTACTGATGTAATTAAAATACGACACACACAAAATCCATATAGAAATTCCATCTACTTAGGTTTCTGTGCTTCAAAACGAAACAAATTTTGTTAAACAATCGCATATAACATCTTTGACATGGCATGATGCAATAAAACAGCACAAACCTGATCGATTTGATCCCACCATCTGAACTCAGCTTGAATCTTGTTACGACAAACATTATACAGAAGCGTGGGGTAAAACAGGATGCGAGCCCCAGCTCCAACCAACGCTCTCTTCGCATCCACTGTAACAATTTGCCGACTATAATTATAATCAACAATTTGCTGATTATTTTTCACATCAGACGAATCCTCCAAATCCTCGATCTTCATGTCACAGATCGCAACCAAACTTCAAACAAAACCAAAACGGTAACCCTCTCAATCAACCCGATCGCTTCAATTACACACGGAGACGTAATTATACCCGTTTAAAAGACGGATTTCGAGAGCCCACGCAACATTTCAACTGAAGAGTGAACGAAAACCCTGGAAATATTAAATTGAGCTATAAATGGAGAATATTTACCAAATCCGGGAAGAAATGAATCGATTCAAAGTGAGATAGGAAAGTATTTAATGTCGGATTTGGTATATTGGAAAGAATTTGTACAAAATTAAGTGTGAATCTGACTGGAGATGCAGATTTGGGGAATATGGAAAGAGGAATCAAAGGGTGTGACTGTTGGAAGTCTCGGACTCTCGGTGTAGAAGAAGAAAGAAGGTGTAGGATTTGGATATTGTTGCCATTCGACTTCAGTTTAATTACGAAATAACCTGTTATCTTTATGGGAATATGCCGTGACGCGATGTATATTGCAGTTTCAATACTCTATCACTCTATGGACACTAATAATCGAAGGTTTTACAACTCAATAAGGAAAAATAATAAAATGCAAATTCTTTCCTTATTTTGAAAATTTTAGTTAATGTCTTATGATATTCCGGTCAAAATTTCAATAACCTTGGAAATCATGAAATCATTATGTAGTTATTATGGTGATATAAGGTGGTATAGTGATTTTTTAATATTAGGTATAATTTATATTTTACATAGATTTTATATTAATTTATATTTATATATTTGAGTATTAATATGGAAATTAAGTGGTGTCGACATGTTAAATAGAATTTGATTGTATTGTACGGGTTCGGCTTCCAAGTCAACATCATCCAAGGTATTCTCTTCATTACAATCATTCCCTACATCTCTAATATAATCATCATCGTATCTATAGTGCTCTCATTTGCTCCTAGTATTTGGTCAAACGTCTGCATTCCCTCTCATTGCTTCTTGCACATCTGACCAAAGAAGGTCATCACCACCACCCATAAAGTCTTGAAGCACATCCTCCATTGGTATTGTCCAATCATGATTCTCCTCAACGTTACTATTTCCTAACAGATTAACTGATCAAGATCATAACTCATACGAAACATCATATTTAACATTTAACATAGATTCACAATGAGTGACTGAAGCATTTAACAATCACATATTCACATTAGGTCAAATAGTAGGTCACAATCTGTGTAATTGTTTATTGTTGTGTGTGTGTGTGTTTAGAAAGGAAAGGATTAAGGAAAACATTGCATACCTGGTACTGTGAATTGGAATATGGAAATCGATTGAGGGATGGAAGTTGATGTTGTGGACCGTGGAGGTCGATTGAAGGAGAGTCAATATCGAATTCAAGATGTAGATCAACTACTCAAGTCGTCGTGGTCGATTTAAGGAGTGAAGTACCAAGTCGCAACCTTGCAGGTGTGGGTTGATTTACAAAAAACATTAATCAGGTTTGACCATAGCAGCTCAAGTTGTCGTGAGTATAGAAAGAGAGTTGTCAATAGTTGCTTTGAATGTTTTTAATTAGGTTAGTTATTCGGGATTTTTAAAATGCAAGTGTAATAGGATCATTAAAAAAAATAGATTTAACATACAATTAGCCCACTACCAGTTTTTTCTTTGACAAAGTAACCAAATGGCCCAAACGTGAATGAAAATGCAAAAGCACCTGTAGCGTCGCTATATCAGTTATGGTTATCGCGGTAAATAGTATCGCTAATAGCGTTACCGCGAATCGAAAATGTTAAACTGAAAATAGTGATTCTTGACCATCACGAAACATTATAACGCCACTATAGCATTGTTATAGTGCACGACTGATAGCATAGTTAAAGAGTAATAAATTTGATTTCGTGTATATATTTAGTTATTTAAATTATGTTAGGTTATCAGGTATTGGCATGATATCTATCATTAAACATAAATATAGTGGCACCATGACATTCTCACATCATCACAAAACCAAATTAAGATGGTATATAACTACTACATATCACTATATATTTTTTATTTTTATTTTTTTGATTATTTAAATAAAATATTTTTTTATTGATTAATTTAGAGAGGTAGAAAGATATGGGGAGAAAAAAAATATATGATTGTGAGGCTTAAGGGAGTGGAGTGCAGTTTTGGTAGCACTCAACGCCACATAGGCAAGGAACACCCCCCCCCCCCCTCATGCGGTTTTGGGTGTCATTTGATCGCACCTCTCCTAAAAACTGTTGCATTCTATTTTTTCTCTCTCTTCATTCATGTGTCTTTCTCTATCTTCTCCTTGCTTTCATCTCTTTCTTTTTCTATCATAGTTTCCACACCCTAGGTGTGGTAAAGAACCACACTTTATGTGGTATAAATGATGTAGCTCCTACGTGTCAAAGGAGGGAGTGCGGTTCTTGTGGCACCACTCCCTTCAGTCTGATGATAGTAACCACATTCCACCACATCACAATCATATAGGACGTCTTTTACATCCCATCATATTGTCATATCAGCAATGAAATGTTGCTCGTTATAATATTAGAAGGTGCCATATATATATATATATATATATATATATATATATATGACTTAATTAAACCAAGATTAATAAAACTAAGCTAAATTTTTAAGAAAGATTTGGAGAGAATTTAATCATTTATAAAGTGTATTCAAATTGATGTCTTTTACATTTAAAATCGTGTTATTTATACTAGTAAACTCACTAAACATAAGTAATGAGTTCTTATACATATTTGAAATATTTGTCATTAGCGTTGGAAATAACTCTTACACATATTTGATATTAGGGTAGAAAATGATGTCATTCAATAATTTAGAACACTCCTTGTGGATGCCATCATTTTAGATAAGGGTTCAACTTTGAAGTAGTGCCTCAATAAAAACTTTGTTAAAAAAGCAGTGAGAAAAAACTTTAGCAAAAATGGAAAATAGTGTAGTGTATAGTTGACAACCCTTCATTTAGTTATATGTTACACTATATGTTATGCACATGTCGCATTATGATGCCATGGACATGATTTTTGTAGATTACAGTAGAAAGTGCCTTCAAAAAAAAAAAGGTTCGCAGAGGGAAAAATCAGCCATAGACATGTTCTCTAAAGATTCTCGTCGCTCGTGATATATCCTTATTTCATTTGAGTGACACATGTTGAGTTATCTTCATAAACTGAAGTTGACCATATATATTTATAAAGTCTGCATGAAGTTAAAACAAGTTGTTTCATCGATATTAACCATGTACATTCTTTATTAGCTTCATTTCGTGCAATTACTTCAGCATGATTTGCGGATGTGACAACAAGTGTTTGCTTTTGAGAATGATGAGAAATTGCAATATATCCATTCATGAACACATATCCAATTTGAGATCTAGGCTTATGAGGGTCAGACAGATAACATGCATCTACATGAATTGTTACGATCAAATAACCTTAAATCAGTAGTTCCTATAAGCTAGCAAAAAATGTGTTTGATCCCATTCTAATTTCTTTTTGTTGGGGATGAACTGAACCTTATAGTGAAAGAAATGGCACATCTAGTAAAATTAGTAGGATACATAAGAGCCCCAACTACATTAAGATATGGTACTCCTGGACCAATGACTTCTTCATTTTCTTCGCATGGGCGAATGGATCTTTGTCAATACTTAATGATATAACAACCATTGGAGTGCTTAAAGGATTGGCATTTTCCATATTGAAACTTTTTAAGACTCTTTCTGTATAATTTGATTGATGCACAAGTTTTCCATTAGGCATAGGCAAACCAAGATAATATTTGGTTTTTCCTAGGTCTTACATTTCAAATTCTTTCTTTAAAAGTTCAATCACTTCAAAGATTTATTTATTCGTCCCAATAATGTTTAGATCATCAAAATAGACAGTAATGATCACATATTCGGATGTTGTTTTCTTAATAACTATGCATAGGCAAATAATGTTATTTTTATAACGTTTACTCGTCCAATAATCTCTTAAACAATTGTAACACATGCGTCCAGATTACTTTAACCTATACAAAGATCTTTGTAGTTTTATAGAATACTTTTCATTGGGGTTTTGCACTTAATGCTGAAGGAATTTTAAATCCTTCAGAGATATTCATATAGACATCACTATCAAGTGATCCATACAAGTAAGTTGTAACAACTTCCATAAGATGCATCTCTAAATTTTCAGATACTACTAAGCATATTAAATATCTAAAAGTGGTTGTATCATTACAAGAAAATATGTTTCCTCATAATCAATTATAGACCTTTGATAGAAACCTTAAGCCACAAGGCTAGCCTTGTATCTTACAATTTCGTCATTCTCATTTCTTTTTTGTGTGAAGATCCATCTATACCCTAATGGTTTCACAACTCCAAGTAAGAATAATGGCCCCCAAAACATTTCTCTTATTAAGAGAACATATTTCCATTTAGCTCATTCAGGTCTCTTTTAACATTTAATGATAGATTGTGGTCCAAGATCACCATTCATAAAATCATATGCAACTAAATAAGAAAATATTGTACTTATATTATCAGTTTCCTTTGGGTCATATACTCTATTTATTTTACCATTATTTATTGCAGTCTATTTATTAATATCATTTATTTTCTCTCTTGGGGAATTTATGATATTTTTTGTTTCTCTAGGAACACTTTCATCAGATCAAGTGTATTTTGTGTTCTACTTCTTTTTTTATCCTTAGAAAGAAACGTTCTTCTATTTTTTCAGGCGTGTTTTAGACTCTTGAGTGTTTTTATAATCAAGTTGTTTGTCTTGAATTTTGATTCGAGCTAAAGAATTGACAACTGATATATATGATTTAGGCGTCCTTTTCGCTTCAGTAAATGAATCAGTTAATTGATTTTCCATTTTTTTTGGAAATGCATTATCTTTTGAACTTCCATTTCACATCTCTTTGTGCGGTGGTCAATATATGATAAGGAAGTTTCATGCCATGAAACATCTTTTTCTTGGGGTTTCTTTTATTCTCCTAATGGTGGGAAAGTTGCAACGTATAATCATAACAAAAGAATGGTACTATGTTATATAATCATATATAATTACATGAATCGTAAGGCTTTCCTAACATTTTAGAAGCAAATCTGGTTACCAACTCTTCATAATTAATACTCTCTAATATATTGTTCTCAATACTTATTATTATCAATATATTAAGTCTCTATTATAACATTGTAGACCCTAATTAGAACTTTAACAACTCTAGTTTTGATAATTAATATCTATGAGTATTATCTAAACCAAAATACATATTTTTGTTAACCACCATCTACCAATTTAGTTTTTTTATTAATTATCTAACAAAGTAAGAAAATGAGAAATAACTTTCTGATTTTT